GAAAGATGTCCATCATTTTTTTTTTCGTAACGCACCCGAAGACGCGCGATGACTGCCAAGTGCGCGGTAGTGAGCTCAGCAGTGACTTCTCGCGGTCTCCTGCACTACTTGTCGCATCGACATTGAAAGTCAAAGTTTGTTCGTACTCAAAAATTACACTTGTGCTCGATGATACCGTTTCAAAAAGCGGGAGTGCTGTTTCGTTGAAACTGGCTGCATTCAGCAGAAAAGGCAGCTTTGCAACTGTTGTAAAATTCTTGATTATGATTGGTTTATATATTTAAATCTAGTGAGAAACTAAGGGCAAAATCAATCATATTAAAGAATTTTTTATAACAGTTTTTATAAATGCTGTATTCAGCAGAAAAAATAGCTTTGCAATTGTAGTATGATAGTTCTTTAATATGATGATTTATACATTAAATCCAGCGAGAAAATGAGAACAAGAATTAATTATTAAATTAAAAAACAATTAAGAAGGATATATATAGCGATTACAAAACGAATAATTGATATGAAATAAAATTAATAAATTAATTTATTTCTTTATAATAAAAACATATTAAAAGATCTTGTGACATTTACAAAGTTTCTTTTCTGCTGAATGCAGCAATCTTCTGTATAAAATCGACCACCGAGATATACCGAGATGAGAAACAAATTTAGAAATTATTAAAACTAGCATTAAACAAGTACCTACTACAACTAGCATTAAACGAGAAAATTATTTCTGTTAATCAATGCCATCGTGCGAAATCTCGACAGATGCTGAATATCGTACCTTATATCTACCTTTGTTGAAAGCCCCTAGGCGTTATTTAAGTTTGACTAGATGCCGGCGCATCCGCCTCCACATGCGTAGAGTCCACATTACGTTTTGACAAATGTAACGCCGTACAATAAATAGAATGAACTCGGGCTCAAAGGACGGCCGCTGGGTTTTCTTGTACACTCGAAAGCCGCAATCCCGCCGCCGTTAGTTTCATTCCCTCGTCGAGCGAGGTGAAAACCGCAAGGAAAGAGAGCATTCTCTATTGTTCGCTGGCAAGATTCGAGGCAGGTTCTACTGTACGTAAGGAAAATAGCAGGTCCTTCGAAAAGATATCCATCGATTCTGTTTCTTGCGAATCGCGTTTTTACAAACGTCACGTGAGACCATCTCTCGATCTAGAGACGACATTCAACTCGTTTAATCTTTAAGTAGATAAGTGGGATACTCAGAACATCTCAAACAAATTTTATTTTTATATTTTTTAACAGCATGTATAGAATTAAATTTACATTATTTTTATTTTTATGAAACAGAAGAATGTAAAAAGAATGTAAAAATTATTTTAAAACTTCTGAAAATTTTTTTTTATTTTCCAGAATAAGATTTTTTAAATAACTAACGCATAAAGTATTGTAGCCATCTATTTACTTAAATGCCTGATTGCATTAATTTCTTCTCGTTTTTCGCTTCTCATTAATAAATGGAGATCATATATGAATGCATTCACAGAAAAAATTTCTGGATTTAATGCTATAATTAATATTACTCCTTAATGAATCTATCGTAAAATAATAGGATCAAATAAGAATAATTATATAATAGGATCAATATAGGATAATTGTATTTATTGTTTTGACAGAGGAATTTACTCGTAAATGAACATTCTTAAATCGAGAATAAAATGATCCACATTGATTTTGCTATGGCGCCAGCATCTTGCTTATAACATCGGATAAAAATTTATTCTAAACATAAGAAAATATAAATTTAAATTTACATGTTACTTTTGTTTCAAGACAATAAGTCAATCTTATTTAATTCGGGAGAAAACTATATTGATCTAATTTTAATATCGTTTTATTTTTATAAAATTGTGATAAGATCAAATATATCAAGAATAAGTTTAATCTCGTTATCAGAAATTTTTTCTGAAGAGGCATTAATTAAATCTGCAGTTAAATTGATGTATCTGCTCTAAGTAATAATTTTTTTAAGGAATATATAATCGTTAAATTTTTTCAGAATTTGAGTTATTACATAAATCTTAAGCTTTACGTCGAAATCGTACACATCGTATTATAAATCAATCTTTTCTTTCTTGTTTAAATCCCGAATATTTCAAGGAAAAGACCTCAGGCGATCTCAATTGAACGTGAGCTCGTAAAACGCGGATCGCGAACGAAAAATCGGCCTGAACGACGTAAGAAACAGAATTACTGTCGTCGCCGTTTAATTCCGCATCGCGGAATCGGCGATAGCGCGCTGGTGTAGGTCGGCAAATAAAAGAGCGAGCTAATCCCTGTTTGTTGTCAGGGTGGATTGTCGGACGTCACAACAAGCCACTCGTTGCTCATCGTCGACCATGTGCCCCCGCGTGCGTTCGATCGAGCGATAAAATTGTGCACGAGATTAAATGTTATTTCGAAATAGATGGAACGAAGATGAGTATGGCAGGGAAAGCATGACGTTGTCCGTCTTGGATCGCGGACAATGGTTCGCGGGAACGCTCGATTGAGCGACAATGGGACGATTGTGGGACAATAAGGAAGGGAATCGACTTAGGAGTAAATATTTGGCAAGGTAGCCCGGTCAGTTTCTACCGATAGTCTCACGTGTTTATGTATGTGTTTTCTTTTTCTCTCTTTTACTAGGAAAATGAACGCACGAGCTCCTGGTTCTCTCAGCCAAATAGATATCAATGGCACGAAGGTAAAAGCGTATCGCATAGAAATGTTTACGGAACAAAGTGTTGAATGCGAAGGTATTATGAGGTTCGCAGAATCTTCGAGGAGGATTTAATTCTAAGTATCGAATGGTTGAGCAACGATGAAACGAAGGCATGACGTTATTGTCCTCGAAAAGACTGGACCTTTTATAGGAAATAAGTTTCAAGAAATGAAGATTAACTTGATAAGTGCATTTAAACGGTGGAAAGTACACTCAAGTTCTGAGAAGAATAAGATGAATTTCCAAGAAGAGATTATCAATTTTTTTAGGCTAATAAAATATATATAATTACATATAGAAAGAACAATTTTGCCAAAGTATCTGGTGTAAAAAATTTTGATGTTCTAATAAGCAATTTAAGTGTTCTATTATTTTTTTTCTAATTAATTATTTGGTGCGATCCAACAAAATTATTTTCAAATTGATATCTAAATTTTAGATTCTTCGGCAAACGTTCTTTCCATGTAGATACACTAAAAAATATACTTAAAATCTTTCTTCTTTTTCTCAGTCTAGAAAAACTCTCGTAGAAAAGAGAAGAAAAAAGAAGAATTTATTGATGGAATGCACTTGCAAAGTTCGTCTTTTTTTAATTATTCTACAGAGACAATGTCTTCTATAATTTTCGTAACAATAAATGGGTAAATTTTTGTAGAGAGAGCAGAAAATCATTATATCATCAATAAATTCCTCAAGAAGCAATCAACTTCACTGAAAAAGTAGTTGATCATAAAACATATCAAAACTATGAAAACGAGACAAGATGGCGGTGAACATGATGGTAACCATTGCTTACTTTTTACGAGCACTTTATGGATATTTTAATGACTGCGGTATATGTAGTGTACATGCGACCATATGCAGAACGCATAATGTTACTCGTGCAAGCAGATAGAATATTGCAAAGACTTTAAGTCGGAAATTCTTGTTATCTTCACATAAAATTGATAAACGAATATAGACTTTTCGATTCATTTCAATCGACTTAATTAACTAAAACTAAAATCAAAGTTAAATAGTTTTATGATTATATACTGCAACTTTTTTTTTTTAATATTAGGTTAAATGTGTTGAATTCAATCATAGGAAATAATTAAGTCGTAGGAAATACGATGGCGATATATTGGGACTTTTGAAATATTGGGTGAAATGAGTTGAATTCAATCATAGAAAACAATTAAGCCGTAGGAAATACGATGACTATGCGGAATAGCCGTCGTTGGATACGCGTATTATACAAATGATAATCATCGTCTCATCAATATCCCATTCAGAGAAAGAGGCGAGTTCATCGACGATGCAACGGCGGATTGAGTGACAGAGCGTCTTTCTCGACGATTTATCGATTAGCAATGACGGCCGTTTTAACACCAATTAATAATCGCTATGAATTTTAAAGGATCGTCATCATTTTGACATTACGAAAGCTTTCCCGGTACATGCTCATAATTTACGAATCGTTTGTAAAAGAAATTTTACTTTGCATGGTGTTTGCCAATTCATATTTTTCGAATGAAAATAGCTGGTGATATAAGAAAACTAGGAAATTTTTTATTTTAAGATCAATGAAATATCGATTTGATACAGAAAAACTTGTAATAATAACTTGCATTTAAAACAGATATGTGTGAAATATGTAATAATATGATACATAAAGGTTCATATCCGTGATCAAAATGAAGAACTTTTATTGTCTATTGTTGCTAGAAATAAACAACAACAAATTATAACAACTAATAGACATTGCCTCTACTAAATAAAATTTTTACGGAACTTTTACGGAAACAGACAATAAAAACACAAATGCTGCTCTATGTTCCTTTTGTGGATACACATCTGTAGAAACACATGATGCATTTTTTCCTATTATTTGTGTTTTAGTAAATTATTAGAAATTCTGCGTTTTGTGTGTAATTCTAATAATTTACTAAAATGCAAGAAATTTAGCAGGAAAAATATTGTGTGCCGTAGGCTGTTACGAAAACACATGTAAAATATATAAAGCCTACGGCACACGATGTATTTTTTCTGCTAAATTTTTTACGTTTTAGTAACTATTATACTAACATTTTTATTTATTAATAATTGTGGAATTAAGATAAGATTAATTATATTTAAGAGAGATACTTATATCATAATCTCGGAATTTTAATAAATTTTAGTAAAAAGCCTTCTCGATAAGTCATTCGGAATAATATGTCAATCTGAATTTCTAGAATATCTTAAATATTTTTCTCTGAATTTCTTAAATATGACAATGCTCGTTATTTTTATGGCCCAGGTCGCTGCGGTGACGACTCTGACACGGAAAGTGAGCCGGGCATTCAATTGAAGCGAAAGCAACGCAGAAGCAGAACGACGTTCACTAGTGAGCAGCTCGAACAGCTGGAAGCTGCGTTTCAACGAGCTCAATATCCAGATGTTTACTCCAGAGAGGAATTAGCCCAGAGAACTGGACTGACGGAAGCGAGAATTCAGGTGAATATGATGTTGGCTAACGTTTACGTAAAATACATCACCTCATTTATGAACACAATTCGAACAGAATTTCTGATTATCCAATCTTAATTATTTTTTTATCAATTATTAGAAATTGTTAAAAACGATTAAAAAATATGCCTTAAATTAAGGTCAAATTATTTTCGATAAAATTATTTTGCTAATGAAGATTCTGTCAGGCATTTATGTAACGCTAGTTACAATTCAAGTAAAGAATGAAGCAAAGAATAGAAATTCGAGGAAGCAATAAAAGCCAGGATATTGCTTGTACTGTACGCTATACACCATCCATTCAATGGCGCAACATCCTAAGACGAGACAAGGCCTACCTTTGGTTCTCATAAGGTTTTCGTAACAATCGATTATTTTCCGGAATTAGATTGTCTAATATCAAACCTCCAGCTTGGAAAGATCCATAAATATATCCTGATATGGGATATGCAGTTTAACGCTGATCCGAACAGCGAACCGCGAAAAATTGCGTATACGGCGCAAGTAGGATCTGAACTCTAAATCGCGAGTCAAATCGCACTGAGCGGTGAGCCACTCGGTGTTCCCATATGCTCTACACAGCGCGAGTAAAAAACGTTAATGCCTTTGTCACGATTACGTCAAATCGATTTCATCGAAAAGGTGCTACCGTCAAGTGTCATGTACACCGTTTCAGGTGTGGTTCAGCAATCGCAGGGCGCGACTTCGTAAACACAATGGTAATATACAGCACCCGATGACGAACCTGCAGTTGACGACCTGCCAATACGCCGCGGCTAGTCACGAGCTCGTACAGATACCGCAGGTGCCACAGATGCCGAGCGGAATACCGCAGGTACCCACCACGTTGCATCATAGCCCGACGACGCTGCATCAGACGCCTAGCAGCGTTCACCAAGTCTCCGGCAGCACCGCTGTCGCCCAAATGACGAGTACAATGGCTCAGGTACCTACTACGAGCAGCGCTCTTCAGGGACACGCAGTCACCATTTCCGGTCATATCGGCTCGCTTCCTGCACACGCAGCCTCCGTGCAACTCGCGCAGGTATCAGCAATGCAACCACCCGTCGCGCACGGTGCGCCGTCGCTTTCACACAACGCCGGTGAGTACTTTATAAGATCTTGCGAGTCACTGGGTTTTCTTAGAAGAGTAAGAAACTTATACTAGGTAAAGGCAGTTATAGACAATATAAGGCTTCTACTTGATGCTCGCAATGCTCTTGAAATCATTTTAACCTTGTTGTTTAATATGTTAAATAAAAACAATATATATTAACAACAATTAAGAAATAATATAAATACAAATATATTAATAAATACAGGTTCCAAATTTTTGAATTTGAAATACATTAACGTATAATGAATGATGCCTAAATTCGAAATCTTATGTCTGCGATTCCGCCAAGATATATTAGTTATATCTATTTTGTCTATGTCTTTGACTTTTAGGTAACACTGATTGGTCTAGAACGCAGCTCAGCTGGGGACAGTTCAATCATTTTCAGAGCAGTGACTATGGCAATCATCAACACGGAAATTCCCAAAGTACTCAGTCTTCGAATACTCCGAATACGGCGGGGACAACGCCAGAATGGTATGACCAAGGCTACGATTACGCTCAGCATACTCAGCTTAATTATCATCGTAGTATGGGTGGAATATTTTAACTAATCAGTCGAATAGTTAATCTCTATCATATAGAGAGATTAATTATCTATCTACATATTTTAACTATATATATATATATAT